TTTGATGACATAATATTTTAAGAATGTGTTGTATGAAAGAGGGTAAAATCAGTCATTTAATGCGGGTGCAATAATTATTTAAGTTTGTAGGGTGATTAAAAAGTTAATTAGCAATCTATTGTATTTATTATATTGAGGTGACGAATTCTTATTAAATATATTTTTCATAAAAATTTGTTATACGGATGTAATAGATTTTAATAAAAAAATTATATTTTTCAGAACTCGTCATATTCAAGTGAATAATTTGAATAAAAAATATATTTTTAAACTACAATAAATGTTGTAGATCCTACAATAAAATTTGAATTGTCCTATTGGATTACTATTTTTTCCGCCATCATTATTGGACTAAAAAACTACATTAGAGTGCTAAATTATTAAAATTATTAAAAAGTTAAAGTTAATGTGGGTAAAAATAAAAATTAATTTTGGAATATATTTCCATATTTAAAGATTAAAATAGTTAATCATTTTTTACCTTTCAAAAATAAATTTTGTGTTTATTATATTTTATTAATTTAAATAAAACTAAACTTAATAAAAAGAATTAAAGACTAAAATCAATTCGATTTTATATTTTAATCGGTGGATCAAAAATCAAACAAAAATAAATACACTTAAATAATACTAACTAATAGAAAAATGGATATGGATCAAAATATTTACATAAATTTTTTAATTTAATATTTACATAATTGAAATTCAAAATTGAGAATTAAATATAATTAATTTTTAAATTGTTACATCATTTTCATTGTTAAATATTAATATTCATGATTTGATTAATAATATTTAAACAATTAAAATACCAATCACTAAAATTGAATGAACTAATAGTTAAGTGATACTTTATTTTTGTTTTCTTGTGATGGTTTTCACGTCTGTCGTACTATTACTACCATAATTCTTTTTAAGATTTTGACAGTTTCTCTTGCTTTTTTGTCGTATTCATCCTTCTTGCATGTTTACTATATTCAAAAGTTCATAATTATCCAAAGATGGTGATGAAAGTGTTGATAATGCTCTACTTCATGTTGGTGTCCTTTTGATTCCATCAATTATAGGATAGGGATAGGCATTAATTTTCATATTTGCTAACTTATTTAGTAGCGGTATGGAATTTTCATCAAATATGGTTTCTTCTGATGCAAAGCTTTGGACTATTGTCCTTTTTCCATCTGTTCGGATTATATGTCCTCTTCCATTTACATTAAGTATTTGTTCTGTAATGATCTTTAAATCAACTCCTGCTTGTATGTGATAATGTTTAGGGTCTTCACTGCATTTATTGATTGATTGTTGTAATCTTTCTAGATTTTCGGTTTTAGCCTCAGGCAGTCTTGGTATGTTCAATGCTATGATTACATGCCATATTTGATATGATTTATAGAACTTTTCTCTATCAAGAATACCAATAAGACTTTATATTTAAATACGAAAGTAATAATCATTAATTTCATTATTTCTTACTAAATCTTTTAGTTGAGATTCAATAAAAGCTGGAAATTTTTTCATCAAATGTAAAGATTTTTTATGTACTGTAATTTTTCTAACATATCCCCATTCAATACTGTTTATATTAAATGATTCATAATCAAGCCTAAATTTTATAACAGGATATATTTCATCTGCAAAATTCATAACTAAATAAGCTTGTTAATTTTTTTTTTGGAAAAAAGCATTGTTAAACTGAGCTTGCGTGTTATAAATTGCTTTATTAATATTTAAAAATATATCTATAGGTATAACATAGTAGTCTTTACTATGTATTAATCTATATAATTTTACTAGGATAAGATTTGTTTTTCCTTTTTTTTTAAAATATTGACATATTTTAAGAAGATCGTTTATCTCACATTTTTAGTTGTTTTTTCAACTAAAGTTTCTATAAGTGCATAAAGAGATTTTTCAAAGTCTTCTCTTTAATTAATGATATGATTTTTTTCCATATTTCATTAATTAAATTATATAATTTTGAAATATTTTATTTTATTTCTTTTGGTTTCCGAATGTTGTAGTTTCAACTGTGCTTCAACCTTTTTTTATAATTTCAACATTGCTTTTTTGACATGCCAAATTTAGATCTTATGACCACTGCAGTTGGTTTACTAAATGTGTCATCAAAAATTATTGAACAACTTCTTTTGGGTAAGAAATATAATATGAATGGTTAGAATAATACATTATCGAAGGTTGTACCGGGACAAATCCTTCGTTAGGATTTTGTGGTCTCATAATCCCTTTATTGGGTTTTTTCAAACAGTTCTTCATTCTCCTATTATTTCTATAGGCTTTTTACCTCAATCCATTTGGTCTGCTAAATAAATCAACAATAATATTGTTAGTGCCTTTAATATATAAAACTTCAAAATGAAAAGTATATAATTCATTATATCATCTAAATCTTCTAGGTATTGTCTCCAATTTTTTATTGGTGATAAATTATTTAACTGCATGATTGACAATTTTTATTAAAAAAATTTGGGTACTAAGTAAATAAGAAATTTTTGTATACCTTTTTTTTATGGCTAACAATTCTTTTTCAAAAATTACATAATTAATTTCATTCGGTGTGAATTTACCTGATCCGTATCCACATATTAATTATTGATTATTCATTGTTTTGACTTTTAAAACACAAACTCAATGTTTTTTTTTGATGCATCTGTTTCTAATATTAATTTATCATCTTGTTTGGGTAGATAAACTTTTGGAATACATGTTATTTCATATTTTAATTTTCTAACTAATTCCAAGTCTTGTTTAGTCTAGGAAAAAGGTACATCATTTTTTTAATTTATCATATAACATGGCTATTTTTTTTCAGATAATTTTGAAAAGAAGTTTCTTTCATAATTTATTATTCCTAAAAACTGTTGAAGTTTTTTATTTTCAATTTTCACTGGAAATTTTTTATTTTAACTATAATATGATCTTATGGTTTAATACCATCTGAATATAATTTTAATCCTAAAAATTTTATTTATGTTTTTTCTAATTCTATTTTCTTAGGACTAAGTATGATTCCATGTTTTATAAATTTTTGTGAAATTATATTTAAATGTTTTCTTTTTAATTCTAGCTTCTCTAAAAATACTAGAACATCATCTATATAAATTGCACAATTTTTTTTATATTTATTGAATATTGAGTCCTCCATCTTTGAAAGACTTGGGGTGCATTACATAATCCAAAAAGTCATTACATTCCATTGATAATTTCCATTGGGTGCACTAAAAGTTGTCAATGGTTTTGACTCTTCACTTAGCATGATTTGTCAAAATATTGACTTACAATGACCATTCTTGCTTTTTCTATTTTAATTTCAGCATGGTTTCTTACCATAAATGTTAGGCTAGAATGTGAACTATTAGTCCGTTCTATTAATCCTTTTATCTAGTAATTCTTTTATTTGGATATCAAATTCATCTATATTTTGTGTAGTATAGATCATTGGTTTTACTCGTATAATTTTATTGAGATTTTCCAATTTTATACTAAAATATCTAGGACTATTTTCTCATAATTTTAGTGGTTCTTTACAAAAATTATTTTATAGTATCTTAAACATCCAATGATTTGTTTCTAGATGTTTAATATTTTCTTTTCTTGGTGGTATAAAAATTTTCCCATATATAATTTATAATTATATATTAATAGTATTTTTATATAAGTTTTATGCATATAGAATTACCATATTTTTATCTATAGACAATGGTAAGTGCTGATAAATAAAATTATTTCCTAATAATATGTCTCCATGCATTTCAGGAAAACATAATATTTTAGGAATTAAAAATCTAACATGGTTTATGTAGATTGATATATTTCTAGTTTTATATTGAATAATGATTTCATTATCATATATTCCTACAACTCTAATAGGATTTTTCATTGGTTCCCATTTTTCTAAAGGGATCACATTTTTTCGGCAACTACAGGTTGTAGTTCCTGTGTCTAACAAGGCATGTAAAGAATATGTGTTATTCTCTAAACTGAAAGGTTATCTCAGTATATGTATAATATTTTCTAGATTGAAATCTTGAAAAATAATTATTTATTTTCCAAGTTTTATTTGTTGAATTATGGTTGATGTATTTATTTCTTCAATTATAGTGCTTCTAGAATTTCTATTTGGTTCGGTCGGAAAATAGGAACTTCCTATTGGTGTATTATTATTTTCATCTTCATCATTTATTTGACTAGAAGATGATAAAATCATGTTTTAGTTATTAGTTGCTACTGTATTTTTAAAATATAATGTATCACCTAAAGCAACATATTCTATTATGTTTAGAGGTTTATTTTTCAAGATTATCATTTTAAGCCATACAGGAGATGAGTTTACTTCTTCCTTTTTTTGGTTATTTGTACGTTAATTGCTTTTTCCAAATCATTACAAGGTTAATAAATGTCACTAATTTGCCTCAACCTTGTTCCCAATGCTACAATTGCAAATTAGACCAGTCAGATTGATTTCTTAAAATTTTGGATTCATGCTTTCATTTAGATCATTTTCATTATTAATCAATCGGGTTTAACACTTGGATTATTCACCATAATGCTACAGTGATTAAGCAATATTCTGGCAATCAAATGCATTATATATGGCAAATCGAAAGCAGCGAAACAAGATCCGAAGAATTGTGCCATGAATAATTGTGTATGAATACGTAGAAGTAAAATTAGGACCTAATACCAACATGTTGCCAAATGCCAACTGCCTAAATCTACAAAACACCACACGATTTCTACACCACGAAGAACCTAAATCTTAATGAGAAGATGGTACGTTCTATGCCAGGATTCAAATTATCAGCCAAGTAATCGGCTTCCAAAAGCAGACGTCTGATCAACTCCAAAATCTACCTGCAAAGATTATACCCCACCATCGAACTAATTGATTTCTCCACTAATATTGTCTATCACAAACTCAAAGCTCATATGTATGAGCAGCTTTAGAGACTATAGTTCAAATTTCCTTGACTGTACCTGGTTCTGAGATGAAACACCATAAGTAACAAAAAAAGAACTGTGTTGCCGTTCAACTTGAAAAGGTCCTCCCGAGTCTTGCAGATGCACTTTCAGAGCTAGGGGCAGTCATCAAATTTCCACCATCAGACATGTAGAAATTGTTGTAATTAATTCTAGTAACCAGATCAGCCAAATGAGGAAAGTGCCCCACATTGAGCTTAAAAGACAGAACCTGCATTTCGAAAACAAGCCTTTGAATTAGGGAATCCAATTGAGGATATTATCTTTTCCACTCTTTAAAGCAAAATTTCTTCTTGCCTTTCTGGGAAAAAAAGGAAGAAGAAACATTGTATATGCTTGTAATGATGCATGTTTATCTCTACGAATGCATATTTAGCATCCTCAGCAAACATTAATGAGATTTAAACTATAAAAACCCTGAATTCAAACAAAAGGCTAACACAACCGAGAAGGGCTGGAAATTACTCTAAGGAGGAAAGCAATGCAATCGTCAAACTGCTTCTCAACCCGGTCTACTTCCATTTCACATCTGGCCTTAATTGCAGAACCCACTCCACCGATGCTTAAAGTCTGCTGTAGGGAGTAGAAGTCCAGAGCTAATGCAAGAATGCTGTTAATTCGGCTTGCAATCAGAGCCCACTGAAAATCAATGAGATAATCAAGCAATAATCAAACTTAATTCCTCAAAACTTTTTAACCGACACAGTGTACACGATTTTTAAGGATCACAAACATAAAAATGTATGAAAATCTTACCAGCTTATCTGGAGCCACAAAGCATTGCCGATGAATTGTTAATAAGTAGGTCTCATGTACTTCTATAACCTCATCTAGGGACCCAGCTGCTGCCATTCCCTCACAGAGTTCAAGCCATGCACTGTGATACACCTGGTTTCCAAAAGCAAGTCAGATATCTGAAAAGCCACCAAAATATGTCATACCGCTTAAATGCATTAAAGGTACATAGAGGCATTCAAATTAGATGGTACAAAAGCATTCAATTAGTTATCAAGTCTGAAGTTCAAAATTTTATTAAGATATGCTTAATTCGAAACTCCAACCAAGAAGGATTTTAGTATTTCCTTTGAGGAAAATTTCTGAAGAGATATTTAGTATAATTATATCTAAAGAGTGATGAAAGCATAATACATGTGGTCTAGTGATTCTACAATAACGAAAGTTAAAGTAACAACTCCACACCTTTAAAGTGAAATTATCTACTATTTCCAGCTTACCGCTAGTTTCTAAACTTCTACTTTAGCTAAATTGCTAATACATCAATCCTTCAGAAGCTATTCCTTGAGCCAATTGAGCACAACACGGTTTAACTGCATATTCCTTTTTATATTCAGATAAGATGGTTGCTACTTGTCCTTTCTTTTCATTTTTTGTTTGTGTAATAACGGAAAATCTTCCCGAATGTTTATTGGACAATCAATCAGCCCAAAAAATTAGAGAGAACCAGAAGGAGGGGGGCGGTTTGTTATAAGGACATTGACATTGAAATAAAAAAGAAAACGTTGATAAAATCATAAAATAGACAAAATCTCACTCCACCAATTTTCAAAAAGAACTTACTCTGTCCATCACATACTGATGAAAAGCATCAACAAAATGGAGAAGTTTTTGTTCCACTAACCAATGACGCTTGTGGTTGTTCCTTATAGTGCCTTTATCCTGGAAAGGCGTCACATAAATAGTGACAACAGTAAGATCGGTTATCACAACCTCAAGTCTACGTGTTCTTTTTAAATGTACACTACAATGGAGAAAATAATGATTATCTGATAGATGAGCACTCTCAAAAAAAAAATTAAACGAACCTTCCACATCCATCTCCGAGCTTTATCAAGTGCAAACTTTGCCCGCTTGACCTTCAGCAAGAATGCCATGACCTACATTGCAAAAAAAATATTTGAGAACATGCATAATTCCATATAACACCACCTCACAACCAACATGAGAATAGTACCTGATTATACTTCTTAATTGCCTCTGAATTAGCTATCAGTTCAAGAGGCCAAGAGACCTGCCACATCCAGTGCATGGATATAAAGGACATGATTCACTTGTTAAGCAGAATGGATTGAAGGTTTTTTTTTTGGGGGGGGGGACTATGGTCTCAAGAGCTGACCTTGTAGGTGAATTTCAGAGAATCAAGGCCATCAATTCCATAACTTTGTGTACGACTTTTACGAGGAGTTGAAGCAACAGTAACATTATTTGTTGGCTCATCACCATCAAAACCATGAGTCTTGGAAATGGACACTACCAAAGACTCTGGTGCACTCAATAATGAGCCATCAGCTGAGTTTCTAATGGATTCCTGTAGTTTATAAGGTTATATAACACCATCCCAATGGAAGTAATAAAGAAACTAAGCAAGTGCAAAGCAAGACAATTGTACATAGCATGACTGAGATCAGCAATTGGCAACTTTGCAATGTGTGAAAATGCAACAAATTAAGCATCCCAAAACTTTGAAGGATGGTGAAAAACTAAATCATTAAACAAGTATTCACCTGCAATATTGTGTTCAACTCGAAATCATCATCCCAGATTTCTCCTCTATCTAGCTTATTAAATATCACCGTTAAAAAGTGTTGCAGCAAATCACCTGAAGATAGTAAGGTGTGAAGGAAATGTCAGAGCAATAGAATATAGTACTCAGCACTACCAAGTATATGGCGACAATTTGCATTAGAAGTCAACAAACCATATAATACCTGAACCTAATAAGTATATGGCATGCAGTACTGCAAGCTCGTCCATTAATCTCCAGCCATTCATTAACTTCGACAGAATAAGGCTGCCAATATAATCAACCTATGACATCAAATCTAAACATATTTAGAATTATGAAAATGTTCACTTTAAAGAAATAAGTGAATAACAAAAGCATATTTCAGCAATTTACCTGCTTCTTGATGTACACAGTGAAACATTCCTGCATAATAACCATAGGAAGTGGGGTAGTTCTTGGTTGAACAGTTTGAATCCAGCTAAGTACTCTTGATGAAAGGGTGCTATTCCTCTGGAAAGGCAATAGCTTGGACATGCTGATATCATACTGTTTCCAGATTCAGTTACATTTGAAAAATGTTTGCATGGGGTTTGCGGAACATATTGAGTTTAAAAAACATTTGTCTAGCAATACCTTTATAGAAGGAAGAAGAGTAGGAAAGGGTAGCAAAACTTCCAGTAACTCAGTGTCATGTTGGGCACGAAGATGTTCAGATTCACCAAACTGGAAACCAGACTTATAGTTTGTTCCGTGAGGTCCAGAAAAAACCTCACTTTTCTCTCCAAAAACTGCTTTTCTTAAGCATTCATCATTTAAAGGGGGTAAGCAAAACTTTTGTGATAAGTTCAGTGGTTTCCATGAATTTCTGTTCTTGTCGAGGAACGTTCGACACACAGTAATGGCTGGATTTTCTGGACAAAAAGATCTTTGGAACAAATATTGATTTTCTGCTTTTATATCAGGTAAAAACCAAGAATCCTTATCTGCAGGCTCTGTATCTATAACATCTTTCTTTAACAATGTGTTGACTAAGAACTTATACCAGATTTTCTCTGAGTATGTTGAAGGTGGCAGGGGTCCAGCAGTACCAGATTCTATGTTCTGTTCTTTCATATACGCAGACAAGGAAGAAATAATCTCTGCTCTGTGGTGATCACATTCACATAAATATCGAGGGATATGATCACCATGGCCTAAAAGGCCAGCTAATGACACACAAAAGATTTCAGCTAAAGTTACCCCTGCCATGCCCTGCCAATGGTTAATCATATTTATATCACAATCATTATAATTCCCACAATCATCATCGCCTTTATCATTATTTTTGCAAGAAGACACAGTTGATGTCATAGGAACATGACAGATCAGCTGCAATGATTTCCCAGCAGAAACAATTGATTTTGCTATGTCTTTAATAAATAAAGGACATACTATAAGATCTCTATTGTTTTGTTCTTTTCCTTTCACATAACCAGATGTAGAAACAAACTCCTTTTCAGCAGTTTCCTTTATGTTAATCATCCCAGGAGCATAATCATGGGTATAATTTGGGGCATATGGGTCAACCTTTAAATTGCAATTTTGCATAATCCTAAGTAAATAACTCTTTTCCCAGAACTCGGGCTCGTCAACTGAGATTGCTTTATTAGCATACAAGAACATCTGCCACAAAAGACAATAATTGTGGACTCATTGATAAACTTACAATGATGCATTCGAATTTGAAAATAGAAACACATTATATAAAACCACCTGATCTCTACAGTGTAAAGATATTGCAACTTTGAATTATTGTCAAACAGTACATATATCAGAGACCTGGAGCATGCTAAAACGCAACTAAGATATTAGGCAGGATGGAATATAAATTGGAAACTATCATAATCGTTCACAAATAAAGAATGTGTTCATGTGTCAAACGATGGTCTTCATCAATGCATCAAGAGAAATTTTGGAAAAGATAGTAAATGTTGGTGCTTTCCCTTTCTGTGAATATGGAATTTCTGAGAGATAAAATTGAAGATATCGTTTCAGTCTTTAGAATAAAATTCAGCTTGAATCAAAGTTACCTCCTCAAAAGGGTCATCCAGTATCCCTTCAAAAAGCCAAGTGTCAAGACCCTCAATGTATGGCAGTAAACTTCCAACAAATATATGAATCAGCATCCGATATACATCACCCTGAAATTAGCACAATCTCTAAGTTTGTATTTTCCAGATGTTCATACAAATATGAAGCAACAATAACACTATTACCAATGAGAAAATAGATACAACCTCAGCACCTTGTACAAGGCATGCTTCATCAAGCTTTAAATAGAGATAGTCAAGAATATAAGTAGCAATGTCAGCAGCCGGAATACTCGACGTAGGCTTGAAGCATGCTCGGGGAATGGCTCCATGAACTATTTGCAATAGATATTCAGCACCTGAGCAAAGGCTAATATATAAATGAAAAAAGGATCAGAAATTTTCACTAGAATAAGACGCACAATATAATGACTTTGAACAAGAAGAAAGAAAATAATCTTGGTGTTTGAGCTGAAATCTACCTGTAAGCAATTGTGAATCTAACACTGAAAATTATTCTATTCTGTGGCGCTCTTGGATGCAAAAAATATAATAAAAAATTTCAAAAAATTGAGAATAATGAAAATCAAAACTAAATGCATGGAATTTATTTAGGTGGAAGTTTAAAAGATAAAATATACTAACCTCGATAAAGAACTTGATAATCCCAACAAAGTAAGCGTAGACCCCGCATTTGAATTGCTGATCTTCGTTTCTTCCTTTAAAGCAATATCACGCAACCTCTGCTCTAGACATAAACACCTGACTAAGCTTTTAAAGAATTCGTACCAAAACAAGATGACCTAGCCTTTCTATATGATAGAAAAAACACATTAACTATATATACTTATTGATGCAAAATCAAACAACGTAGTAGTAACTTCTTGTAGTAGATAAACCAATGTTTATGATCATTACGTCTATATAAAAAATTATGTCAATAATAGGTATTGCATTAACACTCACTGCTCCATCTTAACTTTCTAAAATTCTATCATTACCATACAGATCATCAAACAAAAACAGTTGGATATAAACAGAAAAAATATAAATTAAAAAGAAAAATTGTTTGCTTGGGTGAGTTGGGTCAATAATTAAAAGCTACATTAGCCCAGCAAACCGAATTGGAAAAATTTTTCCTCAATAAAACAATAATAAAAAGAAAAGGATGTGAAAATGATGACCTCGAGCCAAGAGGAAACGGAGGAAACAAAAGCTCTCAAAGTGGGAGGAGATCTAAGCTGCGTTTCCACTTTAGAAACCGTAATTTGTACGAGTTCTAAACACGTAGCGGCGTACATGAACTGGTTGAGGATTACGCCCAGACTGGACTGAGACAAATGGGACACGTAAATCCCACTTCTGACGCAAAATCTCTGCCCCTTTTGGTCCCAATAAAACAAGGAACCCGAAAAGCCTTGCAACATTCGAGCAACTCCTCGAACCAACTCCATTTCCGTGGTCCTTGAAGACGAAATCGGGGACGGAAATTGGGCATCATTGCTTGAGAAGACGCCATAGATTTTTTTAATTAAACTTTGAGAAGCTTCTGGGTTTGAATTGATTGAACTCCTCCTCGTCTTCATACTAAATCCAGAGTATGGCAAGTTATAAGAAAAAATTAGAATTTTGTTAAGTAGACAACAAATTTGAACCAAAAATATTAAAAGAAGAAATATTTCGTTTGAATTAAACAGTACCCAACCACATACTTTTAAAAAAAATTAGGAAAGGAGAGACCTAAAAATTTTAGTGTCCAAACTACCAATTGGCGCCTCTATGTTTTATTACGCAATTTTGCCTTTACGTTTTTGTAATATATTGGCAGGTTTGATTGTATTTTCCATTAGACTCTTTTTTTTTTTTACCCTTTCAAAACACGGTTTTCCTAGGTAAATGTATCTTATTAAAAGAAATTATTAAATTAATATCTTTAACTATAGTCGCAACCGGTCATTCGGAGAGAAAATTGACTAGCTGCAACGATGATGTTTTTGAAAACATGAACGCTGAAATTGATAAAATTTATCAAAAAGTTGCACACATTATACTATAAAGATTTTTACAAAAGACATAAACATGAACATGTATGAAGAAGTATAAACTACCATTGTTTGAAGTACAAACAAAAGTAAAACTCATAACATAGATCATGTATCAACTTGGACAACAAAACAGCTTGATTAGATATCAAACTTCAATGATCTAATGAAAATTTAGACACTAGATGTATTTCTTATAACAAATACAAATGATTATTTTTACGACTTGAGGTATGGAACACACTCAAACTCATATCTCTTGCATGTTACAGTAGTAACTATATCAATCAAATTAAAATTATTCAACTGTTATTACTGCAATTAATATGGTTATGGAATGATTGCAAATTAATAATAATCTTGGATTGGATATGGTAATTATAAGCCCTTAAAGTCTAAGACTTAATCTAGGGCCTCAAACTCTTGATAACACGAAATAAGGGTGTTTTTTTTCTCAATACCTCAAACGGATTAATTATTTAAGACATTAGGCCAATATACACTTTATTTTGAAAACTACAGTATTATCTACAGTGAACACCGAACTCGTCACCTCGAGGTGACGAGTTTCTGAATATATTATTTTTAAATTATCAATGTGAAGTAGGTTCTACATGAGTCATTATTTTATTATCATTAAAATGACTCGTCACTTCGGCACGACGTTCAAAATATTTTTTAAAAATTAAAAAAAGTATAAATTAAGTAGAACTCGTTACGTCAAGATGACGAGTTCCTTCAAATTTAAAAAAATACTATTATGTATTATCATCATCGTCTTCCGTTTCAGCATCTGTAGTTGAAGAGTACTATTATGCATCTCATGCTAGTTTCGATTTTTATCCTCCATTTCATACTTCAGCTGAGACTCGATCGAATTGAGTTAGAGGTCCATGGGATGCATCGCAATACACTCAAACATCTTCGACAGAATATTATGTTGCGGGTGAGTAGGACCATATCCTATATGATCAACAAAGTAGAAGCCAAATCGAAGCAGTTACAACAAGGATAGCTTCAAATGTCATAAATTTATCACCTCATTTCAAAGGTGGATCACATAGTGTATTAAGTACATCTTCTTGGCAAGACGACGAAGATGGTGGCGACGACGATCAAAGCCTATGACTTCGGCGTACTTGACGAGCCCGCGGTATTATCATTCGACCACTCCGCGATATCGTCAAGAACTTAAGAATTATAAATAAATTTTCTTTGTAAATATTTATTTTTTCCAATTATTTAATTACTTTGTATATTTTAATTCTAATTGTTTAAAAATTTTATTTGGCCGAACTTGTCATCTTTGGCCATGACCGTTGCCTATATAGTTATTGACCAACAATTACTCTTTTTAATTTAAAGGAACTCGTCACCTTGACGTGACAAATTTCACTTAATTTTTTTATTTATACTTTTTATTTTATTTTTAATTTTAAAATATATTTTTAAACAAGCTCGTCATGCCGATATTTTCAAAATAAAGTCCATATTAACACAATACTCTAAATAATTAATTCACTTGGGGTTATTGAACCCCCGAAATAAGGTATTATTAATGGGTTGCAAATCCACTTATCATGTTAAACGAGTTCAAATCCTGAAACCCAGAATGAGTAACACAAAAACCCTAGTTCCCCTTCTATATAAACCAACTGAAGCCCTTAACTTCATTTTCACTAGCTTCTATTTATTCTAGGCCTGTAAATGAACTGAACGTTCAGCGAACCGTTCATGAACCGTGCGGTGGGAAGTTTGTTTATGTGCGTTTATTTATTAAATGAACGAACATGAACAAGATTTTGTGTTCGTTTAATTAAATGAACGAACATGAACATATGTCTCGTTCGTTCATTTACGTTCGTGAACGTTCGGTCATGTTCGTTTATGTTTGTTCGGTTATGTTCTTTTATGTTCATTCATTTATGTTTAACCCAATCTTCTTAAATCAATTTTGGTGACCAATTTGTAAGTATCTTAAAAATATTAATTAATATGATATTCTGATGATCAACTCCATAATTAACCCAATTTTGTTTGGAGATTAAATCCAATATGTTAACCCGTGAGGCACCTCGCACCTATATTCATTTCCCCCCTTTTTTCCCAAACCATAATGTTCACTGGAGAGTGGAGATGATCGCTGAAAGCTTAAAACAAATTATATTATAGTACAATCTGAAGTTTACATGTCTGTTTTCATCCCTTTCTCTATTTTATTTGGCTTAATATTTGATATGTAAAGTTATTGCGGGTATCTTCACATCTAAAACTCAAGAAAACATTATGCTTATTTCTAGAAATATATGGAAAGATAAAGGTAACAATCGGAAGTATATGAACATCAGTAAAGAGAAAAATATAATAGAATTTACCAGAAAACAAAACAAAGGTTTCTATGTAATTTCTGAAAAAGAGTGTAATAGCGAAAGTAATGGGTTTTCTAGGAAGAACCCATTAATAAGTAGAAAATACACTTTGACAATGAACTTTTGTTTTCATAGTTCTTATGTGACCTTTAGTTGTGGAGTAGACTTTAAGTACGTTAAAATTTTGAATGGTGATTTAGCAATAATATCAGTTACGATATGTAGCATCGAAGGGATTTCGGATCTATGTTATTGCCTTATAGTCCAATTTGTACCGTTCGAAATCTTCATGCTGTTAAATTTTCTACTCTACCAACGGAAATGACCATTATTAACAAACCCCATTAAAGTCTGACATTGATGTCACAAAATTTTTAGCCGACAAATTTATTAGAATAACGTAGATTTGGTTGATTTGCATTGTCGACTATTTTTCATGAAAGAACAATGGAAGGTAGGGTCTCCAACGTTTATGTTCGTTTATGATAGTATTCGTTTATGTTCGTGTTCGTTTATGTTCGTTTATTTATTAAATGAACGAACATGAACAAGTTATATTCCTTAATAAACGAACATGAACAAAAAAAATTGTTCGTTTATGTTCGTGTTCATTTTTGTTCGTTTATTTATTAAATGAACGAACATAAACATACCTCCATCGTTCGTGTGCGTTCGGTTCGTTTAGCGGCCTAATTTCTTCTATATCAACGATTCTCAAACCGAACCAGAGGTTAAAGAGACGGCGTTGATTGCCCGTCCGCCTTGACTGATCGCCCGCATCGTCTTGGTCCTCGATTTTGCTCTTTTAAAACATCGTTTATTTGTCACGAACCCTTCGTAGAAAATGGCAGTGAAACCCTCCAAGGCCGACAAGAAAATCGCATACGATGCGAAGCTATGCCAGCTCTTTGACGAATACACCCAGATCTTAATCGCCACCGCCGACAACGTGGGCTCTAACCAGCTCCAACACATTCGCAAGGGTCTCCGAGGTGACTCAATTGTTCTCATGGGGAAGAACACTATGATGAAAAGGTCTATTAGGATGCACGCTGAGAAAACCGGGAATCAGGCTTTCCTTAACCTTATCCCTTTGCTCCAGGTTGTTTGAAGTTATATATCAGTACATATGTAGTGTATTGCATTTCTAGTGTGTAATAAAATACGTTAACCTGTTTTCTGGGGATTTTCGGAACAGGGAAATGTGGGTTTGATCTTTACCAAGGGTGACTTGAAGGAAGTCAATGAGGAAGTTGCTAAGTACAAGGTATGATATTGTTGGTTTCTTTTATTAATCAAATTTGGAATATTAGAAACTTGGAATATTTTATCAGTTCTTTTCTACTGATGGTGTGATTACTTGAAGACTAAAACAACTGCTTTTTACTATAATTTAAGAACATGTGTACTTGTTTAAATGTTCAGTTATGTTTAGAAATCTGATAATTGCTTTTGTAGTTTTGTATTTGATATGAATTAAAATGTAACGAAGTTGCTTCTTTCTATTGGTTTTATATTTCTGCTAAATGAATTCATTGGATCTGATATCCTGTTTTCTCATGAAGGTTGGAGCACCGGCTCGTGTTGGTCTGGTTGCACCCATTGATGTGGTTGTTCCACCAGGGAACACTGGGCTTGACCCATCACAGACCTCTTTCTTCCAGGTGATGTAACTGTTATTTTGACAGTTGTTTTCTATCAGATTCCTTGTGCTACTTATTATAGGCATGCTAAATTATTAACATTGCTGTTCTGTTGTGTTTTAGGTGCTCAACATCCCAACCAAGATTAACAAGGGTACTGTTGAAATCATCACTCCTGTGGAGAGCTTATCAAGAAGGGTGACAAGGTCGGCCCTTCTGAGGCTGCACTTCTTGCCAAGCTCGGAATTAGGCCATTTTCATATGGTCTGATTGTCCTATCTGTTTATGATAATGGCTCAGTCTTTAGCCCTGAAGTCCTGGATCTCACCGAGGAAGATCTTATTGAGAAATTTGCTACTGGTGTCTCTATGGTTACTGCACTGTCTCTTGCCATCTCGTACCCAACCCTTGCTGCTGCACCTCATATGTTTATCAATGCCTACAAGAATGTCTTGTCTGTTGCAGTTGCAACAGAATATTCTTTCCCTCGGGCTGATAAAGTGAAGGAGTACTTGGCGGTATGCTATTTGTTCATTTATCTGGTGTGTGTGTATATATATATATATTAATTCTTATAATAGTATGTTCTGACCCCATCCAGGATCCTAGTAAGTTTGCAGTTGCTGCTGCCCCTGTTGCTGCTGCTCCTGCTGCTGCCGCTGCGGTGGAGGAGAAGAAACCAGAACCTGAAGAAGAGTCGGATGATGATATGGGATTCAGTCTATTTGACTAAGTTTGGATTATTTCGCATAAGATTGTGAAGTTTGGGTTTTGTTAGATTTTATAAGGTGACTGCTCGGATTGTTTCTTTTTGTGCACTTTGATTGCTTTTGAGTTCGGAGAATTTTAACTTTATAAATTGTTGATTTGATTTATGCTTTACATGGTTTAAAAGTAATATTGGGTAATAAATAAATTTAGATTTTAAAGCAGTTATGTAAAAAAATTCAAGGTGGCAAAAATTATAGATATCAGATCACTTGTTATTAATTACTATTTACTATCCGTTAATATGAAAATTGGAAAACAATATAATATTTTATCTTTATCACCTCTTCAATTAGAGGTGAGTATTTGATGGAATCAAATTGAATAACAATAAATAAATTTATTGAATTAATGAGCTCTATTTTATAATTTAATTTTTATTTAAAAATTTTTTAATTGATTTTTCATTGTAAATATTTATAATATTTTAATTTATTTAAAATTTTAATACTTTTTTATGATTATAAAAAAAATCCTATTTTCTTATATACAATATATATATACATCAATAATCATGCATAATGTATGGTTGAGAGATTGCTTCCAACTTGGAAAGTAATTAATTGTTTATTAAAATTTTGAAGTCATTTAAGTTTTATTTTGGAAATTATACGAAACCCCGCTCTTTTCCTCCCCCACCATTTTTTCCCTTTTCGTGACAATTTTTATAGTAGATCAAATAATTTTTTTATTTTATTTAGTCGGCGGCATTATTAATTTTGATATTGATCGTCGATTATTGATTGTGTTTTTTCTTTGTTTTTTTAAGTTTTCAATTAAAAATAATTATGTCTTTGTAACATGTTTATCTTCGCATTTATGGTATGTTTATCTATATCTTTGTGGCACGTTTTTTCTGCCTTTTGATAGTTTTCGATCGTTTATCTTTTTTTTTCTCATGGTTGAATTTGACATTGTCACGACTGATCAAGATGACACCTATTTGTTAACATATTGATCTTTCTTGCTTTTGACCATTGGATTGATTTGAATACGCTTTTTGTGCTCGTTGATAGTTTAATCACGTCGCTTAACTCTTATTTGCGATTTGCATGTGTTCTTTCAGTAGTTTCATCCCCTTTTGTAGTTCGTTTACTGATGTAGTAAGGTTTGTTCGTATCTTTATTTTGTTCGAACATTTGTTAGGTTTTTTAATCTTTTTATTTTATGGTCTTTGTGTGATCTAGGTGACTAGTTTTTGTGTCAATTGTTATAGGCTGAATATTTTCTATTTTTAATAAAACTAACGACTCTCTATAAAAAAATTAAGTTTTATTTTGTAATTTATATTTTATTTAAATATTTTTGAATCAAATTAATTTTTTTAACATAGAATTAAATTGAAAAAAGTTGATACATGCTCCCAAAATCTACGATGATAAGAGTCCATGTTTTTTCTGGATTAATGTTTCTACTTGAACATATTAAAGTAACAAAGTCTCGAAGATTCAAAGCATATTTATTTTGTATGTATAATGAGTGAATCCTTAAAAGGTTCTAACTTTTTTTCTCTTTGATGTTTTAGATTTGTGATCGAATCTTTTTTTGACTTTCTCCCTTTGATGTTTTATATTTGAGGTCATTTTTTTTATACATGCACCATGAGGCTCACATCAAAGGAAGAGAAATAAACTCTTCCAATTAATTCACACATCCAAGACTTGGAAAAAAGATCAGAACAACAACAGATTTTTTGAATTTGATCCAGGTGTTATTTGGTGAACCTGTCTTCTAGAGATACGACCGTCTGTCTCTTAGCTTTCCAACATAACTTGAAACTCGTCAATCTAATGTAAATCACATTTTTTTTTTGTTTTAATAATACAAAGGAGGCGCCATTAATAATTGTAAATTAGATTTCTTTGGATTAATAATACAACGTGAGAACGTTTTTGCAAGCGTTGATTGTTGTGTGCTTTCGAAGCATTCTTTATAATAAAATTCTTCGTGAGGGAGATCTTCACACTCCGATTTGTCTTCTTACTGCGATTAGGAGGGTTTGTTAGAATCGATTATCGAGTTCGCCTAGTCAATTGCGACTAGGAAGGTTCGTATGACAACTATCTACCAATCACTATCATTGTCAATATCACCATTATCACCCATCATCACCAAAATCATAATTTCGGATAAGTGTTCAGTTGTCTTAGTTTATCTAATTTAATTTTAAATTAGATATAAAATATATATTTAAAACATTATTAATATAACGAAATATATTAAATAGGATTGGCGATTGCGGAGAAAGGAGAATGGTTGATGAACGTTGTTCAAAGGTTTTGATCCCCTCGATGCTTTTTCCCCTTAAGTTCATTGGGCTTCGTTTTAATTATTTATTGAGCAAAGGCCAGGGAATTGGAATGTGATTTAGACCCCTTTTTTTTCTTTTTAACATTTTTAGATGCAATTGGGATTTAATTTACTAAACCAATAGCATACCTCTTGGAAAGAGAAAGATACTAATTTTGTCTTCATTAAATTTTGAAACATCCGACAACACAGAGGGAGTCACCTTTCTAAACCAAAAATTAAAGTTTTCTATCTACCATGATTTGGTTTCAAAAACATAATCACAGTGTTTGGATAAAACGCTGAATCACATAAAATGGAAGTACCAACAATTCACTTATTGGAGTTCTCTATAGTTCCTCTTACTAATCCTGCAGTGCAATGTTTCCAGGCTTCCAGGACAAAGAAAATGAATCTAACATGGCCCCTACTTGCATATTTCGATGTTGCTGTGTCCTTGCGATAAAGGAAACAAAATATACGAACGGTCACATGCATATCGTGTCCGCAGGATGCATGATGTCTCATTTACTACTTCGTTTCTTGGCTTCACCGTAAAGTATAACCCCAAAGACTGTGAGTGTATAACCAAGCATTCCAGTAACAGAAACTGGGTTTCTGAAAATTAAAATCGAAACCACGACAGCTACGGCCCCTTTCGCATTTCCTAGAACCTGCAAGTGCATATATCAGTTTCTCAAAAAGCTCAAGTTAATTTGATCATTATGTGGTAAGTTAGGGTTTCGAGTTCAAAGTTCCAGCGAACCACTTTCTTGTTTAATCTTCCTTAATAAGTGTACTCATTTGATTTTAATGTCATATACCACATAAGAGATTTAAACAACACATCCTCTTCACCTTGTTTTCTTTATGAAAAAAGGAAACAAAATAAACGTTACAAATTCCATAAAGCCTGAAAACCAGGGGAAAATTATGCTGAGGAAAAAGCTGGTAACAAGGATAACGCATGTCATACCTGTAAAGTGAGGGCACTGGTGTGGTTCGTGACCAAAAAGTTCGTCAAATTCACAAAATACGCTAGTGCTGAATTTAACAAGAGATACCAAATGATCTTGACATCATCTCGGGCAAGAGCAAGGGCGATACCAACCACATTTTCTTCCATAATGAGCGATGTGGGAAGTAGAAACACAACAGCTATAGGAGCCATGTAGAGGAGTAGGTTCATTGAATTTAGTTTCTCTCTAAAATAAAGTCGCAAAAAATTTTCAGTATACGTTTCGAATCTAGAATCGAATGGAAATATACAAAAAATATGCCATTAGCCACAATGCAGAAGCAAAGGAGTAAAATATTCCTCACCCTTCGGAAGAAAGCAAAATTCCTTGTAAAACCGACTTGAGAGCTCTTGCAGCTGTAGCTGAAACACACATGATAAAACCAAATAGATGAAAACTCGGTTCACCCTGTCGCCACATAAACAATTAAAAAGCAGATTAGTTAAATGAAAGTAAGATAACGTAAATAAGACAGAATGAACATTTCGAATATAAAACGAAGAAATTTGAAGGTTTTGAAATCAAATGGGGAGAGCAACCGAAACATACAAAATGAGAAACGCAAAGGAAAAAGAAGGAAAGATGTATCTGAGGGAAGCATTGATGAATCATAAACAATAACAGGGTTTTCATATCATAGTTGTTTTGATCATCCATTTGAAACCAAGAAAAGGAAAATCAACAAACTTTAGAAACCTCAAAATTCAGCTAAAAGCAGAGCATAAAAAAGACATCTAATGTTAATCTTGCATATAACAAATCCTCCATAAATTCACTATAAAAATAAGTAAATAAAAGCTACCATCTCCATTAACCAATAATAATATAAAACCGAAAACATTAGCAGGCAGACCAACAAAATAAAACAAAACCCATTTCCATATAACAAAGAAAAAGCTGAGAATTTCACTAACTAAATAAAAATATATAAAAATTTGCGAAATCCATACCCCACTGGCAATGATAACTCCAGTGACAACGGGAATAAGGGTGATGTACGTAAGCCAAGCCTCCCTCTTCAATGTCACCAAGTAAGCGAAAATCGCTGTGAAAAACGGCGTCGTAGCCCCAACAGCCTGATTGAAACTAACCGCCAAGAACCTCAAAGATATATTCCCAAGCACCACCGACACACAGAAGACCAAACTCAAAGCGGAGATCTTGAGGAACTGAATCCTAGATCGAATCGTCTGCATGGGTACCATCTTCATCCATGCAATCGCGATGTAGCTTAGTAAAGAACACGCCATCATATGACACATGGTTAAGAAGATTGGGTATTTGAAACCATAATTACTCAGTAAATATTTGTTCAACAACAATACACCGATGTTGGACGAGTACCAGGACGCAATTAGCCCGAACGTGAATAGTTTGGAACTGGTTTTCATGGCTGGGGATTTGAAGATATGGGTATGTTTGCTTGAGGGGAAATCAGTGAGTTTTGAATGAAATGAAGGAAATAAGGAATGTTTGTGTGGAGTTTTGGGGAATTATTTCGGTGGAAAAGAAGGATGGTTTGGGGATGATTTTATGGAATAAGCTTCCATGGATTGGGTTCAAGCTTGTCAATTAGTTGAAGATATGGGTATGTTTGCTTGAGGGGAAATCAGTGAGTTTTGAATGAAATGAAGGAAATAAGGAATGTTTGTGTGGAGTTTTGGGGAATTATTTCGGTGGAAAAGAAGGATGGTTTGGGGATGATTTTATGGAATAAGCTTCCATGGATTGGGTTCAAGCTTGTCAATTAGGAAATCAAGGAATCCCAAAGGGAAGAGAATTTAGAATTTGGACTTTAAAAAGGAAGAAAAGTTGGGTTTTTGAGGAAGACCAAATGAAAACAACGTGGCTGCCTCTCTGCATATTTCTCTCGGGAGAAGAAGGGAGACAGACAGAGGCAAGACCAAATCATTTTTAATATTAGACTATTATTATATAAATTAATTCATTTATTTGCCATATAATAGAACTCAATCCTTAAATTTTTTTATTTAAAAAAATAAAATAGATTCTATTCATTTCATTAAGATTTTAAAACTAAACAGAAATTATATTTAATGAGATAATGTAAAGTGATAAAGTGATTCATAAAAAATCTTATTTTTTAGATATATAAATAGTTTTAAATTAGATCAATAATACTGAAAAACTATCACATACCATAATTAATTTTAAGAGAAAAAAAAATTATAATATTAATTAATTAGATTTAGAGATATTACAGTAATGATCCTCATTTCTAAATCTTATTTATGAATTAATCCGGTTAAAAATAAGTACAAATATAATCAATATATAGGGGCTACTGTATGTTGATATTACTCTTTTTTTTTGGTTTGGTTGAAAGGTCAAAATAGTGGGAAATGTGTGGCATAAGGAAAGGGAAATTTGACTTGTAAAATGGAGAGGATTTGTCTAAATAGTGATTATAAATGAACAAATTGAGTAAGATGAAGCCTAAAGATGAAACAAAAGGATGATGGCAAGGAGAAAATAGAGTTATTTAATTAAATTCCTAAGATCTGCCTCCCATGTGAAGTGAATTTCAAGTCGCTACAAATTTGGATCATGCTATGCAACAATCCAATCCAAAGCAACATATTAGCCTACAGCTCAACACATCTTTCTTCGATTCAATGTTTAAGCGTCCATATCTTTTTTAGATAAATTAGTTGTTGGACATGTTTGATATTTTTAAAGAACAAATGCGATGTGTACCATTGGGTTAATTGTATTTGGAACACGTAATTCATTTCCTTTTGGGTGATTATGCATCTTCTGTTGACTCTTTAAAACCTTCATTTTACCTTCGCTTTCAATGTTAACTGGTCCATTTCCATTGATTGAGGGATTTTGAATGTTCATAAATGTAGAATGCTACTTTCCTTTTGAATTTAGGATTCAGACTACAAGCCAATAGTAAATCTACATTTTTTTTTGTAAATGTTATAATTAAAAAATAAATGAAAAATAAGTTATTTTTTTCAAGAAACAAATGAACCTAATAACTCAATCGGTTTATTTACGTTACGTTTAGTTGGGCATGAATCCTACCCCGTTCGTCGCAGCAAGTCACGGTCATGCTATTCATACAGCTTTTTTACATAAAAATATATATAAAAAATACTTGCCAGTTATCAGTATAAACCTTGGCCACCCAAACAATGTATTATTTTAATTTTTTTTTTAGTCAAGTCGAGTTATCTTCGAATTTCATAAATGAATTATATCTAAAACTACAAAATCATAAAGCAAACATGATGAAAATACTTGATATATGTAGAAAAAAGCAGTCTCATAATCCACCATCCTAAAGAAACAAAATGACAAGTCCAAAGCACACAAAATCTTGACTAAGTTCATAAAAACGAAGTGAAAATGTCGAGCCAATTAAGTCATCAACTGATCTCCTAGCAGATCTACACTACTGCAAGAAAAGAACAAATACAGACATTAGTACCCATAACGATAGAGTTGTAAGGGCAAATTATTCCTAAATCTACAGGAAGGAACCATTCATAGATAGTTATCATAATGTTTGGAAAACCTAGAATCCATTTTAAAGCATCTTAATTAAATTAACAAGGAAACAAATGTTTATTCAAAATACAAAAATCAACAAGAACCAGACTAAAAGATCACTTTCAACCATAATAATGACCAAGGTTGCAAAGATACAAAAACAACATAAAGCCACAACAACCAAGAAAATTAGTAGACCAGCCAACTGGATAGGTTCAGACAATTCACATTTTCAATATTCCAGTTTGGTCCATTAGGGTTTGACAGATTCAATTAAAACCAAACAGAAAACTTATGAGCTCAGAAAACATAAAATGGGAAATGAAGAATACCTCATATATTGCTAGGGTACATGAATACTCTGACTCTATCTCCCTGCAAAGGAACCAACATATAAATGTAAAATCAAACGCAGAAATGTCGGAAAAACCTGTCAAATAACAACAATACAAAAACATGTACCATAGATTTGGGGGGAAGGTTAGACTTGAACTTAGCACGAACAACCCCACTGTTACCATGAGGTCTAGCAACCTTTCCCCAGATGCAGCGATAGTGTGAGCCATTCTTCTTCACTTTAGCCTTGTAGATATAAGCCATACGCTTGCCAGCATACCAAGCTACTTCCTCCTTGGTGTTAACTCCCTCGATCTGGATCAAAGAAGTGTTTGGGTACTGGTTCGACTTGGACCTAGCACCAACACACAAACAAATCATAAGCACCATCACAAAATCAAAACAAAAGGAACTCCAATGTCAATATCAAGTTCTTCCACTCAGTTCAACATTTATAAAACCATGCTTAACAAAGTGAATTAACTAATTTAACTAACATTGAATCTCCTTCGATAACTAATCTAATCTCCCACCCACCCAAAAAAAAGAAGGTTGATTTTTTTGTTACCTCTTGTAACCCAAGATAGTTCCTCGTACATAGAGTCTGCATTAAAAAAATCAAAGAAAACGAAGACAGATAACAGCACGTAAAATCTGAAAACTATATTCCATTCAATAAAATGGGAAATTGGTAAAGGTTAAGACTTTTAAAACATGAAAAATGAAGAGATCAAAGGGTACCTGACTCTCTCCCCCTGGCGTCCCTTCACCATTTTCTCAGACTCTGGAGCTGCAGCCTATACCTTCGCTTCTGATAAAGGAGACTGCAAGAGAGACCTAAACCCTAATTAGGTTTTGGGAAATTTATATAAAGTGGTTTTGTTCTTTCTTGGGCGTTTTGGACATCCTTTTTGGGCTTTGTTCTTTCTAAGTATAAATGGCGGATTTTCTACACCAGTCCAAGGGCCAGTAGCTAGCCCTGCTCAGCGATTTAGCCCAGTTTTCCTTGGTTTTAAATAAAAGGTCAAAAACTGCTAGTAAAATAATTAGGATAAATTATACATTTAGTATCTAAACTATTAGTTTTTTTTAGTACCTAAACTTTTATTCGTTTCAAAATCATAACTACCATTTAATTTTTATTTCATTTTGGGACCATGTCATTAAAACGTAGCTGTTGTACGTAGCACCTTTTCTATGGGTAAATTATATCATTCATCATTCAACTATCTTTTCATTCCTATTTTGGTCACTAAAGTATATTTTTTAAACATTTAATTACTTAACTTTCAAATTACTCTAATTTTTTAATTTAATATATGTTAATAAAATAATAATAAAAAATGTAATGTCACAAAAATTATTAATAAAATCTAAAGTGATTAAAAATGAGCAATTTGAAAGTTGAGCAGTTAAATTGAAATTTTTTAAACTTTAGTGACCAAAATAGGAGAAAAAATAGTTGGGTGATGAATGATGTAATTTACCTATAAAAGAATGCAGTGTCGTTAAGATTTTAACTGTAGGGTACTAAAATGAATCAAAAAATAAATTTTAGGCATGCTTTTGAAATAAATGAAAGTTTATGTGTTAAAATGAAATAAACTGATAGTTCAAACACTAAATGTGTAATTTATCCAAATAATTAATAGATCAATTGAGCTCTTGGTCGATCCGAAACCATATTTATTGAAAGAAGTAGAGTCAATATCAATCATTTATTTTCACTTATCAAACGATCCTAAATGTGTGTAAAACTAATAGAGCTTTACATTGTGAAAGTAATTCTAACTATATATATTATTAATAGTAAAATAATTTTATATAAGTAGATATAAATAAAATATTAAGGTGAATACCATGAACAAAATATATATATAAAGTTAAATTTTAAAGTAGATACTAGATATGAAAAAAATTAAGAAAATTAGAGTGATTAAATTAGGAGTAATTTGAAGGTTAAGTAATTAAATTTAAAAAAATTAAATTTTAGTGACCACAATATGAGTGAGAAGATAGTTAAGTGATGATTGATGTAATTTTCTCATAAAAAATGTGTCACGTGCAAATCACCCGTTAACTTTTTAACGGCGAGATACTAAAACAAAAAAAACATTAGGCATGATTTAATTTTTTTTTGAAAGTTTAAGTACTAAAACAGACTAAAACTGATGATTTAAGTTTATGTGCTAAATCAGACTAAAACTAATGGTTTAAGTATTAAACGTGTAGTTTATCCTATTTTATAATTAAGCCTATAAAAAGGATAAATCTAAAGAAGGTGGAAGGGAATTAAACTAGTAGCGACGAGTCACCGTGAACCTCAACGCACTGAAGATGTAATTCAACATGCCTCCTCATGCCATATAATAAATATATCAAAAGCTTCCATCATTGATGAATCGGTGCCATAGAAAACATTAGGCTTCAAAACTTTGAATTTGGTTGAAAATGCTAACACCCTCAAACAAATAACCCTAAGAGTTCCAATTCTGTGTCTTCATCACAGAAGCAACCTCGATACTTTGAGGTGATGCAGATATCGAATTTTTTATTATTAAATATTGATAACTGATGAGTTTAGTGAATTAAACTCAAATTTAAATGTTATCGTTTACGTCGATATTTTTTTTGGAATAAAATAAAGTTTATACTCACAAAATAATATCAAACTATGGAAAAAAATCATTTATACTCCCAAATCAGAGTTGGATGCCGTGAAAAAATACCTTAGAATTGCAAACCTCCCGTGCTAGGTAATCAGTCATTCCTACTTGAGGTTATGCTTATAAATCTTTAATCTTACATAGGCTCAGAGAACATCATCCCTTCTACTCGATGGAAAGTGAAGTTTGCAAAGAAAGTCAAAATACATCATAATGATTGGGCCCCCAACAATGAATTAGTATTAATTCAATGCATCTGACAAATTGAATGTCGATTTTACTAATGCTTCGACCCAGAATATTTAATCCAAACCACTTACGTAAATTTCAAATTTAAATATAATGGAAGGATCAGAACGAAAATTTGAACGCCCGATAAGGAATAAGTCAAGGGTGCTGGGGTCTCTAAGCGGCAGGCAAGGAGCATCCAAGCTTTCTCTTATGACCTTGATTTTTTTTTTCTCTTTTTCTTTTGGTAGTTTGTGTGTCCTTGATGCAGATAGTGTAGTGAAAGGAGGAGACATTTGAACTACACATTTCGCATTCAAAGGACAATTTGTACACTCTAAATGTCCCCAACAAAATTCTTCCACATCTGTGCCTAGGGACCTCTTTTTCATATTTCTGCACGGATGTAACTCTAGTTTTAATGCTGAGAACAACTTTTCGACCGACTATATTCTCATACAATTATGATTTCTGTTAGACTTTTTTTATTCGAATTCTATTTAATTTAATTTAAAAATTTCATGATGTAATCTGTTTCGTAAAGAAATTAAATAAATTAGAAAAATTTGAGATTTGTGGACCTTACCGCATACATTGAATCTCTACAAGATAATACTTGTGCTATTAGTTTAGATGTTGATTAAGAATAAAAAAATCTAATTTGTGTAGACCTATTGTTATGTAAGTTTATTTTATAATCAAGTCATTATCCCTATAAATATATAAAATATATCAGAGCTAAAACTTAAATTAATGTGCGTAGAGTAAGAAATCATTATGTATTTTTGTTTTTGATAATAATCAAATTTCTCTAAATTTCCAGGTAAATATTTTCTTTTATTATATGATGATTTTTATTAACGTGATCTCTCATATAGTATGTCGATCTTTAACACCAAAATCTCAAATTTTCCATGTTTATATAAGTTTTAGTCTCACTTACAATCTTGTATCATCATTTTTCGCTATAAAGAAATTGCAAAAAAAAAAAAAAAAAAACAATACAATGCCATGCACATATTTTTAATATTATTTGAAGCCATTTAACGAAATGGAAATATAATCAATATAACGTCGAGATGTTAACAGAATGTTGGGATCATGTGCTCGGAGGGATCAGGAAAGAAAAAGAAAGAATTGAAGGCCCTTTTTTTCTTAGAAAATATATATAGAAAGATTTTATAGGATTTTCTTAAAGGTTTCTCTTGTGTGTGATTCCTTTGCCTTTTGGACACTCAATGGGGCCTTAAAAAAAATAAACTTCCACAGCCTTGGATTCTAATTTAAGTCCTTTAAACATGTGCTTTTGGGGTAGTGACTTAGGGCGTAGGTGTGGCGTGCCCATGTTACTCTGTTGCTAGGGCATTCATCCATGTTATTTCATTTATATGTGTATATATTATTTCTTCGGAAAAAAAGAGTCGAATTTTTGGAATTAATGATTAAGAAAAAAAAACTTTCGTTTTCCCCAAAAATGTGGTGAAAAATTGAAGTCCAAAGCATGTAAGAATTATTTACTTTAATTTAAGCCACTGTTTTATTCAATATGGTTATGAAATCTGTCAATGATGATTAATTCATGGACAGGGCAATGACTTATTCCAACAGAAAATATCTTCATAATTTCATTCAAGAAATAACATACAAAAAAAAAACCCATTTCTCCCTTAAAAAATCCAAAAATACGGTTTGATTCAAAATTACATTTATAATAAATATTCTGGGGTTCTCTAACATAACTGATAAATAATTAAAGACCCTCCGCAACTAAAGAAGTGATTTAACTTCAAACTAAGCTTAATTAAGCGTAGAAAATAGAAAAAAAGAGGAAATAAACTAGAAAAGAAACCAACCAAACCCAAGTGAAAAAAAGAAGCAAAAAACATGCAAATGATTTGAAAGACAAAAAAATGGGTAAAGGTAAAGATATTTGATTCAAGATGATTACTGGGAAACACTTACATGATTTGGAGGACGTTAATGGCAATTTTGGAATGGTTTTGAGGGCATTTTGTTGGTCTGATAATGAGGCTTGAAGCAACCAAAGGAGGAATCCAAAGGGATCGCATGATCCAAGGAAGAAAGGGTAAAAAACGAAAAGGATCAATGCGATCCCTTTGGATACCTACTCTAGCACCTGCAGTCTTCAACCACACGGCTATCTCTCTTCCTTCCTTTTCTTTTTATGGGCGAAAGAAAGAGGGGGGCTTCCCTTACAAAAAAAGAGTCTGCCTCAATTAACCCTCAAAAACAGTTGGGCTCTCAATATTTTTAAGTATCGGTTTAGGTGGTCACAAGTTTGACCACACAATTATAAGCATCATGTTAAATTAAAAATTATTATGCTCTTTCTAAGTTATAAGTTTAAATTAGAGTCATATGTGTTTGAATAATTTTTAGTTAAAATATAATTTAAAAATAACCTTTGTATGGTTTAAATATTAATATTTTGGCCTGTGGGAGTCAAGCCTAATCAATCAATAAATAAGTTAAATAATTGGAGAAGGAGAAAAAAAAATCGAGTAGTGGAAATAACAGAATTAATCGTTAAATGTTAATTTTTTAAATGAATAAATTTTAAAGATTTATTTGTTGGTATAATCATCGGTATTCGATCTATTGATCAACTAATCTAGATCGGACAGAGTCAAGGGCAACCATCCCAACTCACTTTACTCCATTCGCAAACACCATGATTCCAACCTCTTACCTTACTTGAAAAATCTAGTCCCTCATTTTACTAGGCCAACTTATTATTGGTATAAATTTTAAAGATTTAACGGTATAAAAAGTTATCGAACCTTTTTTTAAAAACTAACCATGTCTTTAATTATTTTATTTAACTAAATTAACAAATTAAAAAAATTAAATACTAACAGTTGATTCAAGTAATAAGCATTTAATATTGCTTAAACAAGTCTCGAGTTCGAGTCTTTGTGTATACATCAAATCCTCGCTTGGAGACTCACCAACTAAAAA